AAAAATAAGGCATCCGGAGAGGACGGTATAGCCGCTGAAATCTTTAAGTCTTGTGTCGACACGCTGGCGCCCTGGGTCCATGAGGTGATTGAACGAGCGTGGAGAGACGAGGCTGTTCCCGATGACCGGGGCTTAGGCATCCTTGTACGTATCCGTAAGAAGGGAGATAAGACGAGATGCGAGAACTACCGCGGCATAAGTCTCATCGACGTTGCTGCGAAGATCTTCGCTATTGTCCTACTCAGGCGATTCCAGGCTGTGTGTGACTCAAGTACGAGACCCAACCAAGCCGGTTTTCGTGCTGGACGTGAATGCGCAGACCAGATATTTACATTAAGGCGCTTTCTCGAATTTCGCCATAGCTACCAACAACCGACGGTCGCCTGCCTTATTGAATTTGCCGCCGCGTTCGATTCCGTTCACCGTGAGTCCCTGTGGCGGATAATGGCGCTGGATGGTGTACCAGCAAAAATCATCGCTATGATCAAGGCCTATTATCGCTCCCCTACTGCGAGAGTCCTGGTCCGCAACAATCTTACCCAACCGTTCGGTATTCGGTCTGGCGTCCGACAGGGTTGTATCCTGTCACCCATACTGTTCAACTATGCTATTGACTGGATCCTCGGCAGTGCCCTACGCGAGAGTGACGGCGTTGAGTATGCACCCGGACACCGACTGACTGATCTTGACTATGCCGATGATATCGCCTTACGTGCTTCAAGTTTTGGTGATCTGCAGTCTATGGTGTCACGAGTGGACGAGATCGCTAAATCTGTCGATTTATTCATAAACGCTGGAAAGGCGAAAGTGTTTTCAAGCTGCATCCCTAACTAGTAGAAGGCATCACTCGGGATTAATGGCTGTCAACTTGAAGAATTAAACAGTTTAAAATACCTCGGGGCGAGGCTGCTGCCTAATGATGCTGCCCGCTGGGTTTTCTCAAGCCTTCGGAAATGCCTGTGGAACCGACGTGATCTCTCCATCGCCAATAAGATTCGCGTGTACCGTGCATCTGTCCGGTCTGTCCTTCTCTACAGTTGTAAATGCTGGACTTTATACGTTGAGGACGAGCGAAAACTGGAGGTATTTGACCACCAATGCTTGAAGACCATCCTTCCAGTGAAGTTCACCGACTTCGTCTCAAATGAGACAGTCCGCGCCCGCTGCGATAACAGCTCAAGTATAACTCAGGCCATCCAAGAAAGACGACTGAGGTGGTTCGGGCATGTCCTTCGTCGTCCAGCTCAGGAGCTCAATGTTACTGCCCTCAATCCGGCACCGTTGCCCAATTGCAGGCGTCGAAGAGGGGGTCAGTTCAAAACCTGGCTCGACACAGTTCGTCAAGACATGTAGGCGGTTTTTGGACCTTCGGTATTCGGTCTACGTCGTTGGCGAAGTTAATGGGTTGAGCTATGCAGGTCTGCTACCGCGAATCGTCATGCGTGGCGAGGTACAGTTTGGGATATCATCGAGGTCGGCTAGATCAGGCATGATCGCAGCCGTATCAAGTACAAATACATGTAAGTACTGACCTAAGCTGCTGTGAAAACCGGAGAGCTTCATTCTCATCTCGCACACTGACCAAATAATCACCTACGTAGAAGCATCGTTTCGCCTCCTCGAGGACATCTTTACCGTAGCTTTCCGCACTATCAGCGATGGCTCTATTAAGCGCGAAGGTTGCACAACTTGGAGAGGATGTAGCTCCAAACTAATGCACTGTCATCCGATTTTCTTTCAGTGGTTGCCGTAAGTCATCATTCGTCCACCACAGAAGTCTTAAAACGTCACGGTCTCTCTCAGGCACCCGAACTTGATGGAACATTGATTCCATATCAGCCATGATGGCTACTTTATCCTGTCTAAATCTCAAAAGTACTTTGATTAGCGATTTGGTCATATCAGGTGCGATGTGTAGTTGATCGTTTAGAGAGGCTCCGTAGAATTTAGCTACGCAGTCAAAGACCATGCGTATGTTATTTGGCTTGACTGGGTGGAAAACAGGATGATGAAAAAGGCCCCAAGAATAGGCTGCATCCTTGACCGGAACCTCTTCAGCATATCCAGACTCAATGTAGTCGTTTATAGTTTTCGCATGCATTCGCAACAGGTCTTCTGATTTTACGAGCCGTTTGCCGGCCAGTCAGAGCGATGTAAGGCGCACACCTTGTTATTCCGGAGGATTGATGGATGAGTTCTCCAAGCTAGGGCTAACATATAATGGCCATCGCGGAAACAAAGGGTTTGGTCCATAGTCATCAACGCGATACGATAGTATACAGGCAGATCTTTGTCTTTGGTTGGTCTCTCGTCAATGGAAACTTGTTGATAGAACAGCTCCAGATCATTTTGGAACTCAAGGAAGTTCGAGCAGTATACTCCTTCCTTCTCTCTGGGAGTCCGATGTACAGGTCCCATCATTATCCACCCCAAGGCCGTTCGAATGGTGTATGGTTCGTCTGCTTTACTTAAGCATTGATCCTGTACCCAGTGTGCTTCCCGTACATCGAATCCTAACAACGGCCCGCTCCCCATGTCTTCAGGTGATTCGAATTCGATCGTACTCAAGTGAGGCCGGAGTGGGGCTAACTTTTAATTTGGCATGACTCGATTCGCTTGTGGTAGAGATTTGACAGAGGAAGCTCGTTTGACGTGAATAGAAGTTTTTGAGCCTTTAGATTCTACGTCGATCTCTACTTCCATGGTCTGGAATACAGTTTCCTTATTCAACATTGATATGACGATATCCTTGCCTTTGCCCTTCATTCCAGGAGCAGACGTGAGACTATCATGTATGATGTATGATGTATCATGCACTTTTTCCCCTCCCTAGATGACGCCCAGATCGAGATTGAATGACAGGGGCGTGATTTGAGCAGGTATGCCGTAGGCTCACATCTTCTAGGCTCTCCGTCGCACAAAGTCATCTTTGTTCGCAAATATAGATTAAGAGCTTTGTGGCGTGATCGTTTGAATGGTGAAACATGTGGAGACATCCGCAAAAGTCACTGATAACAGGTCGAACAGGCTACAGTAATGTTTTGCCAGCGAAAATGCTAGAGTGTCTGCAGACTGTTTGTGTAGCTCAAGATAATGCATGTGACAACAGAAATCCTGGTTTTATTCTCGGAGTAAGTTTCTTCATCTTCATTATTAGCATCATTACTAAGGCTATTCTAATACTACCACTAATGCTATTACCACTACTTCTGCTAATACCATTATTATCATTACTACTACTACTACTACTACTACTACTACTACTACTACTACTACTACTACTACTACTACTACTTCCACTACTACTACTACTACTACTACTACTTCTAGTACTACTACTACTACTACTACTATCACAGTAGATGAAAGGTCATGAGGTATCACGTGAATTTCCTTATAGTGCTAAATCCGCCCAAACTGCGTACCCAGTTTTAAAGCAATGAAAGTACGACCTTTCTTAAGAAGATGCATAGTTTAGTTTTCAAAATTACCATTCACTAGCGTAATATGAATTAATTTTCGCTGAAAACCATAATTTTAGAAGATGGCTGTATTGTAAATCGTTTAATCGCACGCCCGATATAGCATGTTTCTAATTTATCTGGTCTTTGGAACAAACGTTGAGAGGGTATTATTGCTAATTAGCCAGATCTGGGCGAATACACCTTAGTCTGCCAGGGATATACGCCTTCACTGTTCGTCTGCATGAGCAGGTGATCTTCACCAACTAACGTCAGTAATGCACACCGAAGAGCAACATCACGAAAATGCCAGCGAGTCTGCAGACTGTCTGTACACATCGAACCGAAACCTACTGCCTACTTCCGCCCCCACGATTTCCTCGTTGTTGGCAGGGCACACGTCAGCCTGGTTGGTATTCCATATTTGGCAGTGCCACGTCCTAGCCAGCTATGGCTTGACCAATGGAGAAGTCGCCTTTACCTTTTTCGTATTTATTCGCCCCCCTTCTGTGCCAACTATCAACCAATGGAATCCGCTCTGAGCTGCCCTTGGCCAATCAGATTCGGAAGGTCGTCAGTGCGCGCGTGGGTGCGTAGAATGCCAGGGCAGAAATAAAAGTGCAGCCCTCACGGCCCTGAAGGCATTCCGTCGATCTCGCTCTGGTTAATACACCAAATGGCGCTCCCACGAGCAGAAGTGTTCGAAGACGAATTTCCCCTGTTCCGAAGCTGTCCAGCCTTGAACGAAATCCGTCTTGCGGTGGAAATTAAGGACTTGACGATAGAGGTAGCCTCCCTTACCGCGAATATTCATGTTTGCTTGCGTGTTAGGTCATGGACGGGGCAGAGCTTCACGCCAATCGTATTATACTGGCGGCTCGCATTCCGTCCTTGCGAGCCACTCTCAGTGGCCCCCTCGGGGAGACGAATTCCGTTCTACGATGGCCGACCATGCCTCTGAGGTAAATTTATCGTCCATTTGGTGATTTTGCTTACTGCTTATGCACTTTCTAGCCTCGCAACTACGTTCTTGCAGTACGTCTACACGGGCCGAGTAGAGATGAGAGAAGACAATGCGAGGGGCCTGGTAACGCTTGCAAGAATGCTGGAGATGCCTCACCTGGTGGAATGGGGAGTGGCGTTCATGGCCAGGGGGTGCGCGCATTTCCTGTTTAACTGTCTGTTCTGCAGGCTCACTTTAGAAAACCTGTCAGATACCTTGGACTTTGCGAAGTCGCTGAATGTTGTAGCACTGACGGAGAAGTGCATCGGACTGATGAGGGCGCAGTTTGAGGACTTTGTGCCAACCGACCTCTTCATTCGCCTTCCTGCCCAAACTCTACTCACCGTGCTTCAAAGTAAAGATTTGTCTGTGGCGTCTGAGGAGCAGGTTATTGCAGCCATATCACGGTGGGTGGATGCAGGTGCGTGCCTGGCGGATGATGACGAGAGGCTACAAGTGCATGCTCCTGCAATGTTGAGGGAGGTTCAGTGGCACCAGACGACCGTGAAATGTCGCAATCGTCTGCTGGAGAGTCATCCGACATTTGACAAGAGTCGCGAGTGTCTGTAAGTACACGACATTGCGGCTCTGTTATTTTTTTCTCTAAAAGTCGGCTTCTGTTTCAGATCTCGAATTGGCTTGGCGCCGATGACAAGGAGAAGTGGCCCTGTCCCTTCAACATTAGACCTCGTGTTCGTCAGACCTTCGTTGCAGAAGACAAAGATCCGACAATCTTCCTCTTTGGAGTGGACAGGCAGGACAGGTGGTCTGTCCTGCGTTGGAATCCGCATCTGCAGCAGGCAGAACGCGTTGCTTACTTGGAAGGAGACTGGAGGGGCGCTTCCTACAGTGCGGTGGGTGGTGAGTTTCCTGGACAGTTGTTTGACTGAAGTCTACTGCCTCTGGGTGCAGGCCTTCTACCTGTCAGCACATTTTGCCGCCACGGGGTGAATTTAGCGCTCGTTGCTTTTTGCTTTTTAAAGAATGCAAGCCCTTTTTGAGCTGGCTACTTTATGCATTCCTCTCTTTTTTTCCGCCACCACCACCACCACCAAACGGAAGAGAGCATTTTCGTTGTTGGAGGATGGAGTGAGCGGCGTGTTGGCGAGTTTCTGGTGAGAGAAGGGCGCTGGCGCGAGCGGGCGCCCCTCGCCGTTGGACGCTCCGGGGGGCACGCAGCCGCCGTCAAGGTTCCCACCGCTGCCGCCGCCGCCGACGGAGAGGAGACGCTTATTGGCGTTGTCGGTGGATGGGGCCCAATTTCCTCCTGTGAGGTCTATGACGTCAGGCAGGACAGGTGAGTGCAGACGCCCCGTCTTGACACACATTTATTAATTTTTTTTTCGCCAAAAAGAAAGATTTATCCTCTCTTCTCCTTACTCGCCTGTTTGCCCGAACAGATGGCACAAACTGCCCGATCTGCCGGAGGCGAGGGACTCCCCAGCTGCTGCCTGTCTGCCCGGCGACAGTCGGGTCTTCGTTTTTGGCGGCAGCTGGCTTGCCTCTGTGGTCTTCTGTCATCTGCGAGCAGACTGGCGTCGGCAGCGGCAGGAGGCGACCTCAGCGGACTTTTGGCAGTCGGCTGCCCCCATGAGAACTGCGCGATGGCAGCACGCAGCGACGGCCTTTCGGGGAGCAATTCTGGTCGCCGGTGGAGTGGATGGAGAAGGCAGACTTGTCAACACTGTGGAGATGTTTACGCCGCCAGACGCCAGCAGTCCCCTCGGCCAGTGGACAAAACTGGCCCACATGCAGGAGCCTCGCTTCCTGTTCACTCTTCTCACCTCCGCCAACGCCGTATTTGCTCTCGGCGCCTACGGTACGAAAGCAACACGCCATTAAATGCATTCCTCCTCCTCTTCTCCTTTTTTTCTTTTTCTTTCCTTTTTTTCTTCTGAATGCACACACTGCACCAGCACTGTGTGCTTGTGTGCCTTGAGGCTGAATGAAGCGGTGCTATTATTATGGTGTCCGGGTAATTTACCTTTAAATGGAGTATTTTTCTGTCTTGTAAACAGTTTTGAATGCATGAAAATTCCTCATATCCCACCACAGTGTCTTTTAAAATCTCGGCTATAGAATGACTCCACTGTAAGCCAATAAAAGACGTTGCTTTTGCATGAATTTTAAGAAAGAATCCATAGAATATCAAACAACTCATGCAGCGCTGACAAAAACTCTATGTACAATCTTCCATTTGACTTATTCGTCTTCCTTAGGTAAAGGACTGAAGACGGGGAAATAGTTTTACACAATTAAATGCATTCTTTCTCTCTTTAATGCCATGAATTGGTTCAGCATGCGACACCCGCGTTAATCTGACCTGTGGTTTTCCCTGAATGGCCACTCTGCAGCACTTCTGTGGATACTGCCTATCCCTCTTCGTTTCCTTCTTTCTCTGTCTTAGAATTTTCTTTTTCGTAACCGACCTTCATTAAAATATTTTAAAATTTGTAGGCAGATCCGGACAGCCAGGTAACACGGTGGAGGCCTTTTCAGCCCCTGGAGGTTCAGCCGACCCCGACAACGACTTGACCGCTTGGGTCTGGTCGTCCAAGAACCCAGTGGAATCGCTTAGCAGGATTTGCGGAGCAGCAAGCATTCGCATGTAAACATCAGCCACTTTCCTGATTTTTTTTAAAAGAAATAAACGACTTGTAAGTAAATCTGCGGTGGAGTTCTTACTTTAAAAGATGTGCGGTGCTCACACGAGGGTCGGCCACTATAGGACGAGATTTGTTTTCCCGGTGAATGAAATGACTTCTTACGACACTGTGGACTGCGTGGGGTAGTTGCTATTCAGCAGGCATATATTCATCCGTCGATGTAATGCGCGGCTTTGGTGAAGTCACAAATCCATCGGTGCGGGGTTTAGTACAAACGCCAAGTTATAGGAACTACTCGTATTTTCCGAATTAGAAGCATGTAGGGAAGCCGATTTTCCTGGACACAGAGATTTTCACCAAGTGGTTTCAAGTATGAAAACTGAATTGCCAGTACGAGGAAAATGTTCGTCAAAGGTGTCGGATATTTGCAGCACCCTAAAACTCAGACAGGAGCAGTTTGAGGCTGGGAATAGAGATGAGTACGTAGTTTGTATTTACTAAGTGATCGCATTGGCCGTAAAAGCGTCGTCAATTCCTAAGCATGCTGGAACTCACCCGGAATTGCCTAGCGAAGCCCGAAAGTAAACGACACACAGAGCTACGTAAAAAGGGGCGCAAGTGAGTTAGTTGCTGGTGATTTGTACTTTTTAAGCAAGTCGTCGTGGGTGTTACAGATTTGATATTTCACCAGGAAATGTCCCCGCAAGTGTAACTGGACAAGGGAAGACTTGTAGCTTCCCACTCTAACGATCGTCAACATAACCGTTTGCCCTCATCGTTTTCGGTACGCACGCCACGAGTGACTCCGCCTTCGGCTTGCGACACCGTGATGTCCATCGATGTTTTTTCTTCACCGATTAGCCGCAGATGGACGAATTTGGGGAGAATGAGATTCGACTAGTATTTTACGCGTTGATAGTGCTAGCTGTAACTACCTGCGATGCTGCCTGTACACTGGATGAGTCAGTGGTCGTCTTCAGCCTGATCTTGAATGTTTCCAAGAGAGTTTAACACGGGGCAGCCAAAGTCGTCTACCAACGGCCTATCATTTACTTTTTGCATGACTTCATAAAAATGTCTGTTGGACACACTTCTCGATATTGTAAGAAGAACTAACATCATTGGTGTACTCGTCCCCAAAGAAGAGAGCGACTTTCAGCTGTTAATTCGAAATGGTCTTGCGAACCGGAGTGTATTTGATGACACAGTAACAACATCATCACCAGGTAGTAATGGACTTGGCAGAGCTAGAAAAATATGCTGCAACATGCTTCCTTCATATCATCGCTTATCGGCTGTTGCCAACTCTGCTGATTACTCCTACGGGGAAATAGTTTAACACAGACTTCAAAGAACTTCCAGTTTCACACAAACGATATCGCAGGGTATTTTGGGAAACAGACGTTCAAATATTACCAGGTTAGTCGGAGGGTTGCAGCCCAAGCTATGATTAGCCAGATGACACTGACTGTGTTTGAAAGCTGCACGGTTGCATATGCCGCCTGAGCATGCCTGAGGCACCTCCCTCTGGCGTGGAGGCCCGCACACCTGGCGAGGTAAAATCGATCGATCGCGCCGCGCAACATCGATCGCAATACGTGCGTGCTTAATGCGGCAAGAACCGCACCTGGACTGCCTAAAGAGAATGTCGTCAAACTGAGCCGATTGCAGCGGCGTGCACTCTCGATGCGCAGTCCGAATATGATTAATTTTATGCATTCTTGCACACCGATATTTCCCTCGTGACTCTTACTGTACTATCACTACATCTAGAATTGTAAAACTGGGAGGTCATCTAATCACAAAAGCTGGTTAGGAATCACGTGCATGGCCTATGCCAGCTACCTCGGCAAGACAGTGGAACAAGTGGCTATGTAGTAACCATTAGGGAAACGAAGTTTAGATTTGAGTTTGGGGTTAAGTTTGGGTTTACTGATGAACGTCAAGTTGTGTCTCAGATTATGACAGGGAAATAGTTGCCTATTCTCAACTTTAGGTCTTGGGCATATAGATGATTCCGACCAAGTGTTGTGGAAAATATGTATAAAGAAATAGGAATCGATACCTTGGAGACGACAAAGATATGGGAGCGGAAGAGATGACGCGGTACATAATCTTATATCAGGCATGCTGCTTTAATAAGAAAAAGATTGCAATTGGCAGTTATTGCAGTTAGAGAGAGGTATTTGTCTCGGGCGTTCCATAACAAATCTTGAACTTCGATTGATGACCTTGGTTGGTTTTTTCGCATTTACAAGTCGTCAGATTGTAGAATGAAACTTATGACTAAAAGTTGTAAAAATCCCCATAACTATGTTCTAAAGAGACAGTGGCGAGTGAACGTTTCTTTCGGTAACTTCTCATCAGGTCAATAGAGCTTCATGACTAAAACACATCTTCTCTTTCAAAATGAAGTTTTTTTGTGCAATTTTTCCATTTACGGGTTAATTCCTGTGTTAAACCAAGTTAAATATATCTGCTACTTCTAAGTATGTTTGCAGAGGGTGAACGTTACAAAATTATATCCGGCATGAGAAAACAAATAAAATTTGTTTTCTCACACAGTTCATCTATCTACCTAGCTTGCCAAAGTTCCTTAATGGAATGCCACTGGGATTCTGTCGTAAAACGTGCTACTTATTTTGCGTTTCCAGGGATTATTATTGAATAACTGACTCTTTTGCCCCTCCTTTATTATTTGCCATGTTAAATTGGTCGTTATTTGTTCGTGAACATCAAAGCCGAGTATATGAACATTCTTCAACTTGTACGCCACGTGAAGCCTTCTATCTTTTTATCAACAGGAGTCGAATGCGATCGAAGCGCAGGTGGTCTGCACTAAGCCTGCATTCCTAAGTCACTGTAATGACTAGCGAACTTATTTCATACGCGCAAATGTTTGTGGATTTTCGCCCCGATATTTCCCTTGTTGACTTTAAATGTAATACTATCGGTCTAAGTTTTATAAATCTGTGATATGACTCCACTGTTGATAGGGGGTGTAATTTGAGGTATACCTATCTCAACGCAGTGAAGAGACGGCGTTTAGAGGCAGTGAACATATTGGAAAAACGATTATAGAAACTTGTTTAATAGCAAATATTGACCTTCTATATCAGGCAAGCTGCCTTAATACGACGACAGTTGTAAGAAGATTTGATTAAAAACAGATGCGCATACCAGCCTCCGGCCTCCTTTTCCATAAAAATGCAAGAATCACTCATTGGCATTTTGAGCAGTGCGATGCAGGAATATATTTTGGTAAAGAGGCAGGCCGTGTCTGTGCCTTTTAAATGCATGATTTAGCTAACGGAGCGAGAAAGGTTATAGTGCTCAAACATCGTTAGTACAGAAATATACAGCCTTATATGCTCGGACGAATTACGAACAGCTGCAGAAGATGTGGATGCTATTATGATTCACGGTCGTCAGATAGCGCATCAAGGTTATTATCCCTGTAAAAAAATAAAACCAAAACCCCAACGACAAATTATTATTCCCCATTGGTCGACATAATGTTCTCACATCCAAATGGCACTGTTCCGAGTGTGTTAAATTTAAAATAAAGTCCTCTTCTGTTATCAAATTTATTCCTTACCGTTACTAAGTATTTCTTAATTTTAGCAGCATTTTTAAGGAAAAAAAAACAGTTTCATGCAGTAACTGTAAATCTGGGTATTTCACAGTAGCGGGGCGATTTACTTTTAATTTAAAATGATGCAATGGGGTTTTGGAATATCATCAATGCCCAATCAGTCCTAGTGAAAATGAGAACAGCACGAACAAGCTACGCAAGTCTTCTGTCGGCCACGAATACAACAAAATCCAAGGTGTCAAGCCGACCTCGAAATCACCTAAATGTTCATCCATGTTTTGTCGTTTCGTCTTTTGTCCTGTAAATATTGGGAATTTTCCCGTAAAATCCCTTTGTCTAATTAGAGACAAAGTACTTATACAGAGGAATAAGTGATATTCACGATTAGATACTACTTTTGACATTAAATCTCTTATTTATAGAAAGCTCAAACACTTATTTCAGTTAAAATCGCTCGATGGTATTTGAATCTGTTTTATCGCATCAAGGTCCACAATGACATTGAGCCGATCTGAAAACATGTCTTGACAACAGAGCACAAGTTACCAAGAACAATGCCAGCGAGCAAGTGGGTCAAATGGAGACTTCACTGTTTGAGACTGCTTCCTCACAGCGAACTCCTCTCCAGGGCCCAGCAGACTCGTGATGGTTGAAGGCAAATGCGTTGCCGGCGTCCACAGGCAACGATGATGCTTCCTTCAAAGTGCGGTGATGCGATAACCGACCACTCGATTTATGTAATATCCAAGTGTTCACCGTGGGCACAGAGATGTCGTTATTTTCTAATTCTCCCCGGAGATGACTGTGGAACACTAGCGGAGAAATCTACTTGCCTTGCATTCATGAAGGCCCGACTATCGCCGATTGAGTACGCAGAAGCTGAACCGCACTCTCCACGCAGATCGGTCGATTGTTGGTGTCTGAGTGGGTGGCAGGAAGAGGATGCGAACAGTGAATGTGAGCATAAAGTTTATAGTTAGCACAGATGCACCATGAGTGCTCTCGCGGTCATGGATCTACCAACAATTTAAGATTATCCTGGTGTCCCTTCATTGAAGGATCCATTGAGACGGCTATTTGTTTTTCGATTGCATTTGTTACTAACATCAGACCCGACAACTGCAGCTGCGTGATATATATACGTCGAATGGTGCGGTCTCCCTTTTGAGTCGGTCCCCCTGATCTCATCACATCCACTTCCTCTGACCTGATCTGAATCGCCATCTAAGATAATAGTCTCGATCGTTTTGGCTTGGACGAAAACTATAAAGTGCAGATATGATATGAGTAAGGGAATTGTAGCAAGATGTGAGATGCGTTAAGTAAATGCAGTAAAGACTTTTCTTCCTTTACATCTGTGAACAATAGGCGAACTTGATGATTGAAAAACTTAAGGCAGACTGGAATAGAT